TCCGATGAGATGTCCAGTCGTCGGCTGACTGACTCTTCTAGCCGAATTTTTCTCAATCTGGTCAGCTTAGATGCGTGCGTTTTTCCTTCGAAGGCCGTGAATGTTCGATGAATCGAAGCCGAAGAAGCACTGGCTGCATTCCAGTTTTGCTATGGATGTTCGAAGCCACTATAGTAGCTTTTCCAGAGAAGCGGAGACGCACTGCTCTTTTCCACCATCACCGATTACGCAATATTGGACTCTTATTATTTTTCAAGTCGCAAAATTCTTGACCAACCTAGCTCGCCGAGTTTTTTCTTCTTCTTCGCCCCATTCAAGGCCTAGCTGCCCCGCACACATCTCGGCTCTTGTCCCGACAACCTTCATCCCCGTCACCCGGCGCCCGTGTCAACCCCCTCTAATGAAGTTCTTGCTATGTTGTGTGTGTTGTAGTACTGCCAAACCATCGTGGCGTCCTTGTCGTTGACCTAGTTACGAAGTGGAGATGCGCCCCCTTCACATGGCCAAGGTCGTCGCCCCGCGCCCCGTCCACCTCCCGAGCGGCCCCCCGCACCGCCGCCGCAGCCGATCGCCAAACCCCTTGCAACCACCCGTGTGGCGGTCTTTTCCAACATTTCACCCCTTCGTCAAAATCACCTCCATCAGCTACGGGGCTCGCAGCTCTCACCCTCTATCCGCTCGCTTCCGCAATTGCACTTCCATCAATTTTCACCCTCAGTCTTCGTTCAGTTTCCATTTCGATCTTATCTCTCGCTTATCATCAACATAGGCGGCAATTTCAGCATCGCGCTTATCATTGTGCTTTTTTCTCAGCTTGGCTAAATGGAACCATTAAAGCGTCTTGCATTTCTTAGCTCTTGTGAGATATGGTTCGTGAATTCTAGGATAATTTTTTTTTAGAAAGTATGCCATCCCTCTAACCAAATTTCAGCTCACTTTTAAGTGGACAAAATTTTCTACTTTCATCCTCTTCTACTTCGTTTTTTTTTTGTACTTGTGCATAATTCTTCTATCCTTTCGATCACTAACTTCACTTGGAACTTGGAATAGTTGAGTTTGAAGGTTTTGATAATTCGCTCAGAAAGAATTTTTTCTATGCTAGTGTTTGCAAATTACCTCATTTTGAAATATTCATACTTACCAGAAATTTTCGCATCAAAAGTTTCTGAATTTGTTTCCTGAAAATTTTATTATCAACAATTTCATTTCTGAGGTACTCTTCTGGAACCATTAATTATTCTAAAGTCTTCTTCTCAACTTATATTTCTTGAAACGAGTGATCTCCTTTATCTTTGGTAGAAACTTGAAAAATGTGAGGGAACTTGAAAAACGTTGTTTTGAAGAAAATATTATTTTTTGAGTTAATTCCACCCCGCTTCTCCATATACCGAATCTGCGAATCATAGCTCCTTTGATTTTTGGGTATTGTTTCACTTCCATCTTTCGGGATGAAAGTTCCGCTTTCTCGATAAGCAATTTAAACTGACCTTTAATCCATATAGGACCGCCAAAAGCGGCTCTTCTCAGATCTTGACTGCTATTCCCTCCTAAGTTTACAACCCAACGCTTTCCCATCCGAAAAGTTTCAATTTCTCTCTTTCTCCCCACCCCCCCCCCCTCTCCTCTCCGTGCTATCGCTGTCCGAAAGTAATCTGACTTTCGCCCTGATACAGTGCACATTGCGTGATGGTCGGTACGAGGTGGCTGTTGGTCGTTCGTCGTCGTCGTCGACCATCGTCGCGTCCATCGTCGAGTTCGTCCGCATTGCTAATTCCCACACACGCGGTGGTGGCGGCCGCGGCGCGACCTTGCACTCTCGTTACGTGCCAGTCGGTACTTTTGAGGCCATTGCCACTTGTGGGCGGAGCGAGCCGCGCGCACGCCGCGACACGATGTAAACAACCGTGGGCGGGGTCAATGTCACACGTGTGTGGTCGGTAGCTGGCTGGTAGAGTGGGGCGGAGCTTAGCTTGCGCACACGCGTAAACAATCAGGCGGAGCGTCTCGAGATTACCGTAATCCGGCGAAGGGCTAGACTTGACAAATGATCACAACATAGCCAACAGCTCTCGATGAGATGTGTCAAGGTGAGTGTGGTGTGAGGAATGTGGGTGACTACGGTAGATCAATGATTGGTTGCGGGGTACTGTAGCTGCATGCTGCACGTGTTCCACACCTTCAAGCCGAAAGTATCGATAAGAAAACAAAGCTAGATCATGTTATCGTAATGCACGGTGTTTCGTACGTGGGCACACACCAAACAAGGAAGGACGCCTACGTAGCCAGAGGAGAGATTCCATTTTGGGAAGTTTTTCGAGAGAAGGAGCGAACCGGTCGCGATCGCCGTCGGCGGATTCATTCCTGGGTTTATGCATATAAAAGAGGGTTTAGGCCGTCTTCATCTTTCCATTTTCATTTTGGCAAGCGGAAATTCGATCATATAGGCTGGAGGACTATCTTTAGCTGAAAATAAAACGATATGAAATTTAAGGCGGAGCTTATTTTGCTTTGTTTTGGCTTAAGGTTACGGTAGTCAGTTTTGTAGTCTAGGACTTACCTTCCACATTCTGTGCGTGTCGTGCCCCCCCCCCCTTTATTCTTCTTCCCACTTCCCAGTGTTTTTTCTCCCCTTCCCTCTCCCCCCCCCCCCATTGCTTAGCCTTGTACGATCCCAATGATCTCGAACGTAGCCACATAGCCAACAACAACAGGCGAACGTGATGGCGCTTAGCTGGAACGGCTTCGGGGGTGGGTGAGAGCGTGTGCGCCGAAGCTTGTGTGAAGAGATATACGAGATGCGGCCCAGTGCCTATGTGTCCAGTTTAGCGGGGGACGGGACGGCTTAGCGCCAAGTGGGGACACGGGAGGGGGGGGGGGTGGATAGCTCACTCTCGCCGACCAAAAACAGCTCCATTATGCTTGTGGTGCGGCCACAACAACGAGTTTTTGCGTGTGCAGATTAGCTCTCTGACGGACAACGAACGCGACCGCGTCGACGACGATGTGAGCGCGGCGCGATGCGGCGTAGCGCGCGTAAACCACGCGGGCGAGGCGATACAACCGTCGTGTTTCTGGCTTGCGCATATGCGTCTATGTATCCCTAGCCTATAGCCTAGCCTAGTCCATCTAGCTTAGCCGCCCAGATGTACAATTGCATCCATTAGATGTCTCTTTCTTTCGGATACGTTCATAGAATTACTTGTACGATGTAGGATCGTATACTGTAGGATGCGCATGGCTACACAGTTGAGGCGCAAGACATGACGAAGTGGAGATATCAAAGGTCCACGGCTTTATTTTATCCAACTCATTTTTTATTTTTCAAGTTTATGCTCGTCCGGTAACTCACATCCTTACCGTATCCATACCGGTACGTATGTCAGGTAGTGCTACATGCATGGCCACATACAGCCTATTTCTACCACCACTCACTATTCTCGCAATCTATCCTCGGTCCTACCGTGTATCTACCGTAATCTTAATCAACTATTCCCTCAGCTGTTTTTAAGTGTTACTACCTACCGCACACAGATCGTATAGAAATTTACACTTTTAAATCTTGGCTGCTAATAATCTCCTTTCATCACATAAATCGCTATTGCTACCGTATACCTACCGTAACCGGGTGATGCCTTACTTCAGTGATTACTGTATCCACATCATTTCGACTTTTTTATACTTCCAGTAACTCAAGAGTTGGAGTATAACTTCTTACCTAACTCATATCCTAGAGCGTTTATTCGTTGTACTCATACCACAGTAACCTTAATTGGAGAGTTTCTACTCTTTACCTTTTTTGTTTACATTCGAGCAGCACCTTTCCACCACCGTGTTATTACCGTAACCCTCCTCATAACCCTTGCATTGAAGGCACAAAGGTTGTTGCCATTCACTGAATCACATGCTTCGGTACAACCTTGCAATTTTTGCTTTACCTAACCTTTTAGCCTACTGTCAACCTTCTTCACTGTATACTTACCGTAGTCGGTAACAATAAGAATTTCAAGATTTTTTGTTAGATATAGAACCTAAAGTCGGTGTGCTTCAGTTACACTATGCGATTTTTGCTGTAGCTAACCTCTCAAGATACTGTCGACCTTCTTTACCGTATACCTACCGTAGTCGGTAACAATAACATTAGCCTAGAGTTCCTCTTCTTCGTAAGATCTGACACCACTACTCTTGACTTCTTGATTCAATCAACGGGACCTCCTTCAAGCATCCCTTCCTCTCTATCTTACGGTAAATAAACTTTTGACTCCCAATTTCGCTCCGGGAACCGCATATCCTCGAATCTTTTGCGCATGGATCGATATCCGAAGGGGGCTGTAGAGTGTCCAGAACGTAGTGCGCGGATGGCTTTCGTTGGTTCGGTGTGTGTATGTGTGTATGTGTCTCTGTATGCCGGACCTCATCAAGTGCAAGAAGTTCGCGATGCGCGCAAGTCATTTCGGCGCCACCAACCGGTCATCACCAGGATGTTGCAATTACGGACGGCCACGCTCGCACCCCTTCTACCAACATCCAAGAAGCTTTTAGCAGGGGAGAGGGGGGGAGGGGTTGGAAATATTTCGAGAAAATTCTAGGAGCGGAGGGGGGGGGGTAGGAGGTGAGAAGAGACCTAGTGAAATTGAACTACCGAGTCGGGTAAGGTAAGAGTCCGATCGGAGCTCGTCGTCAGTGAAAATGGCCAGTGATTTGTTCGAGAACAAGTCGCGAACTGATAAGAAAGGCCTTGTCAACTGGCCGTTCTTCCTACGGCATTCCCAACCTTTTACGCCTTCCTCTCCCCCCCCCCCCCCTTCCGCATTTCCAATTTCACAGCTTCCACACCATCATAAGCCACCGCCGTCATCTTTATTTGCACTTATCATTTTTGCTCAAAAAAAACATTAGCCTGATTCTCGCTCTGTTTTCGCGTCTTCTATCTTCACCTCTATCTCTATCTCTCTTTTCTGCACTCACCTAATCCATCAAAGACAATTCGTTGGCTGCTTCAGATGGGTGAAGACCGAGGCGATGGCTCTTCAGCTGCGCCACCACCGTTCGGAGCCGTGCCCCAACAATCGCAGCAGTCCGGATCACAACAGCAGCGACCCCCTCAACCAGGTACAAAATATTTTTTTTCAAAAAATTATTTTTAGCCAACTATAATCCATCCATCATACGGTGCGCGATCTCTGCAACTTCAACTCTGCCTGCTGTTCTTTTCGCACATCTCAAAAATGAGCACATTCCGTTGCCTGTTATTAACCTATTTAGAGGGCAATGTTTTTGTGAATCGACGAGTTTTCTCGCAATGCGTAGGGGGTAGCGATACGTTATCAGCAGTTGATATTATTTCCCCACCCCCCCCCCCTCTCGGGAGAATAAAGCATGCTATCGGTTCTCTGGAACTTCTAAAAAAGGTCAAAATCGGTGTGAATACGGGTAGCTCTAGGACTGGAGTGGGAACAGTCGGTGATAAGGAGAGCAAACGAAACTTAAATTATTCGATAAGCCCAAAATATCGTGAAGTTTCATAAAACATTAGATTCTCAGCAAATATAATAAAAATCATAAAAAAAGATTTTTCTCGAAGGCTTTGAGTTTAATTGAATGTAAAAAAGTCTCTGTTCAAAAAAAGTAGGAAAAAGAAAAAGTGAAGTAAGGAAATTTTCTACATCTTATATTTTCCTTCATGCAAAAGTTAAAAAACTCTCTTCTAACCAACTCTGACCACTTTTCAAGCATAGCAGTGGAGAAAAAGTTCTAAAATTTTTTGTTATGTATCGCACTCCCTATTCTCCTACACCTTTCTCAATTTTTTCCTCCCCTTCCCCCCCCCCCCCCTCCTCACTCAATTAACCATCCCCCGCTCGCCTCTGCTTGGTTTTTATTCAGCTGCAATTTTCTTTTATGGCTTCAGTTACGGCAGTCGATCTGAATCTTATCACCCAAACTTCCGTTCAGCGAAAATCGAAAAAACCGAATTTCAAAGAAAATTTTTATCTCCTTGTCTGGACAGAATTATTTGAGGAGATTTTTTTACAAATTGTCACCCAAATAATTCAAATTCTCCGACCAATCTGTTTGGGTAAAGTTACAGTTATACTGTACCCTTCTCCTTAGCTCGTAGCTGTGGAACCTATAGGGAAGATCAAAAGTTGAAAATCTAATAAAAAAGTAATTAAAGTTAAAGAAATGATTTTTCTCGAGTACTAATTTCATGTCCAAGAAAAATTTACCATAATTTTTTGAAATGGTTTATTTCTAGCTATCTATTTGCTTTTTCGCCATTTAGCTATTTCAAAACCTCACCCGACATTCAGTTCCAAGATATCAAACTTTTTAAGAAAATTTTCCACCTAATTTCACAGATTTATTTATAGAAAAAATCTACAAATCCTCTAATTACAGTAACCCACGACTCTTCACGCATGGCGGATTGGGATTGGCGTGAGATAAATGATGAAACGTTGGCACAGTTATGTGTGTTCCATGTTCCCGATAAACCGGTTCAACATCAGGTGGGTGCTAGTGGTCACTCTACACCCCCCATACACACACAGACACAGAGACAAGCACTAACAACGGAGAGATCAGTAGATCAAAAATCGTACTGTATCTCGTCTTTTCAGGACGCGAAGAATCGTGCAATCACATCGTTACCTCTAAATCTGACAATTCGTCCATCAGCACAAGATCCTACGGTAAGGAATGGGATTATTCTCGAACTTTCAACTTTACCCTTTTAGATAAAATAGAAGGCGAGAGTATTCGTCGCAGCCGACCCTTTAGCACTGAAACTCAGTGTGATAAGCGATTCGTTGAAATACTACACATGTTCGTTTCGCATAAACGACGAAATGTGCAGCTGCTGACTGCTGATTGAGAATATTATTATTCCTCTGTTCGTTTTAGAGAATGGGAGTGTGGTCGGTGGACTACATCCCCAGAGGTGTTCGCTTTGGACCGCTGCTCGGTGAGGTGCAGATGAACGGAGCCGTCGACGCGTTGATCTGTCCGGCGGAAGCCGCGAGCGCCGGTGGCGCCGCCGGCGGTAGCGCTTCCGCAACCGCTGCGCCTACCACTTCGCCAAAGGAATGGAAGGTATGGTGCTCTGCTGTGTTTTTTTTAATTATATGAAAAAAAATTTTCCCCCTCGAAAACAGCAAGAAATAGACGAACAAACCACAAAAAAACATTTCAGTTTGGAAAAAAAAGTCAGTGACGTTTAATCGGTTCAATTTACATACCAAAAAAAGTTTAATTTTACCGCTTTTGTCACAACAGAAAAGATCAGCTCTTAGAAATTTTTAGTGAGAACGAATTGTGCTGAATCAACCGTGTACATCGTGTAATTGCATATGTTCAGATTTCTGCTCCTTTTTGTATAGTTCAATGCAAAAAATTATGCTCCTAAAAAGATGCAAAAAAGATAAGGAAATCAGCAAAAAACTTATCAGCGAAAAAGAACTTAACGGAGAAAGAATCAGATGATGCTGAGTGACCCCTAATTAATGAGCCATTTCAGAACTTCATTCAGTATTCTTTTTTCTGTAAATGATGCACGTTTTACATTTTAGTGCACTCATATGCAATAAACAAATAGATAAACGGATTTCTACTTTCTATTTTAAAACAAAAAGTATTCTCGAATTAACAATTCTTCTAAACTTTTACATACTCGATTCTGAGCGATACGGCTTTTTGATTAAAAACAGTGCGATAAGAAACACTGCGAAAAAATTTCAGGATGCTGATCATTTACATTAGTAAAAGTATCTAAAAAATGTTAAGATTAGCTTTTTCTAAATAAGAAAACATCGTTTTTCCTGGAACAAGATTACTAAGAATCTACAGGTAGTCACCTAAATTTGTATGTGTGAGTGCACAACTTGCCTGATAACTCACAGTAATATTGTGGTGAATAGCCAGTGAAAACCTTTAGATGGTGCAAACTTTGAGTGTGATTATTGACACTTATTATTTTTATGCACAAAAACAGCTGGAAAGAAAGGGGGCATTCATGGAGATTGGCAATTTGTAAGCAATCAAATCGTGGAGTAGCTCGCCTGTTGTGCGATACACATATTGCAAAGTTGCGCGTAAAAGTTAGCTTGGTGCCAAAATGGCACAAAAAATAACTGGTACGATAAAGCTAATTGGAGAAGTAAAATTTTTGGAGGTAAAAATTCCCGTTCAGTGTAAAACTATTCTTTACTTGAAGATCTGTATGAACTGAGCGATTCTTAATCACATGACTAATGCTCTACGTTCTCAAATTTACAACTCTTCTCACTTTTCTCTATCATATCTCCTTATCTTAGCCTCTGTTCTGCTTCTATTCAATTCGAATTGCAAATTCTGTATCTGAAACGCTTCTTTTTGCAGGTTATGTCACCATCGGGTGGACGCGCTGTGAAGACAATCGTTGTCGAAGACGATAGCCGTTGCAATTGGATGAAATTTGTGAACGTGGCTGTGACGAACGAGACACAAAATCTTGTCGCCGCTCAGGTGTGTAGACGTTCGACGACGATGACATAAGAATGACTGACGAGCTTTAGCTTAGAAAGAGATGGATTGGGCTTTTGACAAAAGGGGATCATGATTTTGCAAGCTTTTAAAGAGCAGGGAAGGAGAGGGGAGGGAGACGAAAACAGTGTTTCTACTGCATTTCATGTAAGAACATGTAGTCTCCCTCATCCCAGTAGACGTCTGGACGATTTCAAATTTTGCGTTGGAGCAATAGTTGGCGATAGAGCGCGGCATGATCTTAGGCAAAGTAAACTGGCGGCTGAAGATACCGTGCCCTACTGCAACCGGCCTGCTACAATTCAAATTTTAAATTGTCCACCAAATATCTACTTAACGACAACTATACAGTCAAGAGGTTTTTTTTGCTAGTGTGTGCAACTGCACAATTTCCAGAATGCCTGCGATGAAACGGATCTCTCATTTCAAAAGACATGAAATGTCATTTTTTCTACTTTGGAATATAGTGCCTAAACTACAAAGTAAACGAGAAATCCTGAGAAAACATAATCTGCGCTCCACCAACTCCATCTTGAATATTGTGCAATTGCACACATTACAGTATCTTCCATTTTGAGACTAGGATATTCAAAAACGCTGTTGCACTTACAATTCAACAAGCTCGGTCACGTTTTTTCCAAATCCATGCGGTAAATGGCCAAAACTCGTTTAGCGCAAACATGAACTTGTTAAGCAGACGTACGCAAAGCGTTCTCGAGTATCCTAGTCTTAGGATCGAGTATAAACTGGGACTGTAAAAATTCAGCATTGGCAGCACAGCTCAGGGCGGTAGCATTGAAATCATTAAAATGCCATAAACTAAGAAACTACGATATCAAGATTATCTATGGAATAAACTGTTATCTCATAAATGTTCTCCTAAAACTAGGAAAATGCGATTTAATAGGAGTTGTATGTAAAAGAAAATGTTATCTAATATTCTCCCCATTTCAGATAGAGAGCGACATTTTTTTCTATTCGATTAGATCTATCAAACCGAATAGCGAGCTGACGTTTTGGTTCAGCAAAGATTATTCGCAGAAGCTCAACTATCCAGTTTCATGTGAAGCTGCTCGCATGGGTACGAGATTTTAGCAATCTTTGTTGTTTTTTGGCCCCCTTCCCCATTAATGCTTATAATTTTCCTACTGTAGCGAAGCCAAAACGTTCCGCGCCACCACCACAACAGCCATGGGCCATTGAGGATCGGGCATCACCACAGGAGGCTCTTGACTACAGTATGAAACGAGAAGCTATTGAGAGTAGCCGAAGTGAAAAAGCGGACCGTGGCGACACGTCCGACGTTGAGCCAGGCGATGACGCCGAGTCTGAGAAAAGCGCTTCGAACAGGTTTGTGCGACGGCTAAAGCGCCCACAGGGGTGATTGATGGCTGGAAGCCCCTCTGGCTTCTCAGCACAGCGTTGCAATTGACCTTTTACAGAAATGACTTCAGCTGCTCGCCACCGTCACTGGCTGAAGTACAAACGCGTCCGAATGTTATACAGAATCCTGTACATCGTCCCGTTCCTACTCGTTTGGCATCGCTGCCGGCGCCATCACCCGTACGGCCAAGTCCCCTGAACCCGCTGTCGCTGTTTCAGGACTATTTTAGGAGAACTCAGCAGCTCAGTGAGTCCTACAATCTTCAATCGGAAAAGCAAAATGGATCTTGAATATAATATTGTCAAGGTTTCACACCCGGGAAAATATACAAACGTTATTTTTTTGCAAAATTTCAAATTCTTTGCTGTCTTAACGTATTGTTTGCCAAGTACTGTAAGGTTACGGTAGGTACAGACTGCATAGTACCATAAGGAGTTATGTAGAGCATTGGCGGAAATTTCTTTTGGGAAAGGGCGCGAAGAGAAATAATTTTTTTTGTCCACGCCATTCATTCTAAGGCTAATGTTAATTTCTGAAATCTCAGAAAATTTGGTCTGATCATTTACGAGGAGGAAAGTGTCACTACGATTTTTATAACTTTTATAACCTGCCTTTGAAAACTGTGGACCTACTCGAGGGGGGGGGGGAGAAGGACGCACTGCTGCTTAGTAGATAAGTTAAGTTACACTCCTCCGTCAAAGTTTGGTGCAAGAAATCGCAATTTCTTCCTTACAAAAAACGAGATGGTAGTAGTGCTATTCAAATTTTTGTGTAAAAAAATTGTTTTGCATAGTTTTACCTGCTAGTGTGTCCCCACCGTATCTAAAGTTTACATCGTGCTTTTGGTTCATGCGTCCTGTACGGAATATAGAAACTCCTGTAAAGTAAAAATTTACCTTGAGTAAAATTTTTGTGTGCTTCCAAGAATTGAGAAAATTTGTTTTAGGTGGTGGAGGTCTTTGGGTTCCACCTTCAACTCCGGCAGCCGCGGCCACCGCTGCCACCGCTGCCGCCGCGACCAGAATCACAGCATCGGGAAGACCCAGCGATGCTCAGCCAATCCTAGCTGCCACTGCTGGCAGTGGATTCGGAAACTACAACGGCATATATGGCACTCAGGTAAGGCCATTATCGATCGTGGTGGAATTCCCCGGTAAAATAAGAATTTGAGGAAGTGAAGCCAATTTTCTCCGCTGCTACTCCCGCATTCGGTGCTGGTAGTCTTTCGGCGCATTTTGGAGGAGGCGGTGGTGGATCATTTCCGGCTCCTCCCTTTCCAGCTTCTAGCACACCTAATCATAACGATGGAGGCTATGGTGCTCCGAAGGTAGAATAACCTTTTTTGTAAGATCATTACAACATCTTGACGAATAATTTTCAGTATATCCAACAACAGGAGAACGGAAAAACTCGCTATGCCTGCAAGGAATGTCATAAGACATTTGGGCAACTTTCCAACCTCAAGGTGCATGTAAGGTAAGCCGGGGTCTCGTTGAACTTTGAATGTTAGTGCGTAAATGTAGTCCGCGAGGAGATGCGAAGCGGCAGGTCATAGTCAGCGTGGCAGCAATGCCAAAATTACCGATTAGCTCTTCCCTTGTGCAAAATTCTAGGGCAAATCGTCTTGCGTAACCCCCTTAGCCGAAGTTTTGTTCATACGTAATTTTGACCCTCTACCGTAACCCTACCGTAACTCTACCGGATGGCGCTACCACGCGAAATAAACATCATATTCGTATTCAGCGTCGCAAATAACCTTCCCTTCTACAAGTTTTAGCGAAATCCATGATTTTCATTTTTGTGCCAATTTAAGTGTACTATTCCCCCCCCCCCCCACTTTTTCCAGTTATTCCTCGTGGGACGCAAATTTCTAGCTACAAGCACATCTTCAGTGCCATCCCTTTTGCGATATTTTATCTACCGTAATTCGTTCCAGGACTCACACAGGAGAACGTCCATTCAAATGCACTGTGTGCGGGAAAGAATTCACCCAGTTGGCTCACCTTCAAAAGCACAACCTTGTGCATACAGGTTCGTTAATTCGTTTTTTTGCATTAATTTGCACTTCACAAAAGAAATTTCTGCCATTCAGGTGAAAGACCACATCGATGTGACATCTGTGACAAACGTTTTTCATCGACATCAAATCTAAAGACACATCTACGACTACACAATGGTCAAAAGCCGTACGCATGTGATGTATGTAGTGCAAAGTTCACACAGTACGTACATCTTCGCCTACACAAACGTCTACATGCGAACGAACGACCATACGCATGTATGTCGTGTGGAAAGAAGTACATAAGGTAGAGTGTAGTAACTCTCGAATGATGGATTATTCAGGAAGCTTGAAATTACTGTCCGAAGTGAAAATACTGTCCAACCAGATTGATTACGGTGAGATTCTGATGCTGTTTGGTAGCGGGGCTCCTTACTAGATAATCATCCAAGTCCTGCTGCAAGAAGTGAATTCTGAAGCGAGAAATTCGCTCCAAAAGATATGAGCGTCCAAGGTAGCTCCGCCCATCAACGTGGGTGGTCTAAAAATAGAGTGCAAAATTGGCGTGTATCTAGAAGCATCACAAGTACGACGCTTTATAACTAGTTTGTAGACATTCTTGTCTCTTCTGAAACACACTTTCGAAATTATCTTCGGACTCACATATCGAAGGGCGGAGCTACCTTGGTCGCTTCTAGCTTCTGACACAGTTTTCTCGTTTCGAATTCATCTTTTCCCCCGGGACTTGAGCGATCACTTAGTTAGGGGTTCTGCTATAATATTATACATCATCAAAATCTCACCAACCTCAATTTGGGTGGACGGTGCCTTTGAGTACTCAAGTTTTAAGGCCTAGTTGACCCTTGAACTCATAAAACTTGCCTGTCCTAAAGAGAGCAAAGCGCGAAGTTTGGCATTGCACCTCGTATTCAGTGTTAGTGATTCGTAGAATCACATTTTGAGAACAACAGTGCGTTTCTGGTAACCTTGGAGTTTACTGGCAAACAACACAATACACAACGCGCAACGATCAATCTTCGGTTGAGTTCGAGTCGCGCTCTTTTCTTCATGGCCGATTACGGTAGATGAATGGAGGGACTTGAAAATGGCTTTAGCCAGCCATCTAAGGAGGGACTGAACTGCTCATTCTCACTAGATGTATTCGATTTGCTGTTGGAGGTTGATGAGTTTCGGGGAAGGAATATGGAAGGGTCAGAAGTGCTCACCTTTGGATAGGAATTTTTCAAGGGGGATTGAGTTTTGCCAAGAAGAGGGAGGCTGGGGGCAAGGTAGAATGGCGTGAAATAATTTTATTCATTCTCTGCTTAGAAAAACTCCTCAAACTTCCTATGTAAAAAAAATTTGCGCGTATCTGACCCAAAGTAGGCGAGGTTTAGTTTCAGCTGCTATAAATGCATTTTTGTATATGGGACCGCTTTCGGACAGGAAAGCTATTTGACTTAACACAATCAAAAATGCAAAATCTCAACTTTCGCAAGAATTTTGCACAAGGGGTTATTTGATAAGCTGATCACGAGGACGATATTCTCACATATGGTATGAAATTTTTTACGCTAGATATATTGCATGAGGTTATTTTGTGCATTTAGTTGATAATTTTTAAACTAATACTCCGTCTGCGAGTGGCTCCTCAAATCGCCAAAGCAAAAATTCACTTTTTGAAAACTGCTCTATCTCGGGACTATTTCTTTGAACTCATTCTAAGAGATAATAAATAACTCCAAAAATCTTGCTGCAGTCATTTATTTTGCTCTTTTTCTGGCTATCTCACGTTGCCATGAAGATGACTTTTGATCGCGTGTTCTTCTCTCGTGCTGGTTACTCGACCTTGAAAAGGTTAGAGAGGCAAGAAGTAGTTGTCACGAAATTGTTGACTGCAAGGGTGACTAAAGGTTAAAACCAATTTTATGCGAATTTAATCGTAAAGGTAACCTTGTAGTAAAAGATATATTGTTCTATTCAAGTTAGAGGAAATGAAGTCGAACTCATGTGGTGACAGATACTTACTTAGATACTTAGATGGCCCGGCTTCACGTGACGTGCGGGCCCCAGCTCAGAAGTTTCCATTTTTCCCTGTCCCTCGCTTCTGACATCCACGATCTTCTTGGCTGACGTCGGTGGCTGCGTCCACGAGTTCCAGGTGCAAAAGTCGTATCCAGCTGATTTCTCAGCTGGTCCATCCGTTCCACGAACACGTCTGCCCATCTCGTTGGAGGTCTTCCTCGGGGACGTTTGGCTTCGCGAGGAATCCACTCCGATGTTCTTAGTGTCCATCTGTCGTCTGTTCTTCTCATTATGTGACCGGCCCATCGGTGTTTGGCTTTCGCGACGTATTCCGCTGGGTCACGAAGACGGGACATTCTTCTCATATCCGTGCTGCGAAGTCCGACTAGATGTTGCTTGCGTCGGGTCATCTTCAGAAGACTGCGCTCGAGCGCTCTGTGGGTGGTCCGTAGAGCTTTCGACGTGGCTACAGTGTCGGCCCAAGTCTCAGCTGCGTAACAGAGCGCCGGGAGAACGGTTGAGTCGAACAGGTGGGCACGAAGCTCCGGGTCCGTCAGTTGGTCGGTGGCTTCCTTCAGGGGCCCGAAGGCGGCCCAGGCTGCTCTTCTTCTCCTGTTGAGTTCTTCCCTCAAGTCGTTCTCCATGTTCATCGAACGTCCGAGATACACGTAGGAAGACGTCTCCATAATCGGGGTGCCTTCCAATTCCATTTCTGCATCTTCGCAAAGGGCGTTCTTCATGAACTGAGTCTTCTTCCGATTTATTCGCAGTCCGATCTTCATCCCTACTTCGTTTAGTTCCTTCAGCATCGTCTCTGCTTCGGTGATACTGCTCGAGAAGAGAACGATGTCGTCCGCAAAACGAAGGTTGGACAGGAATCTCCCATCAACTCGTATGCCTCTCTCGTCCCAGTCCAGTGACTTCATCACCCACTGCAAGGCCGCGGTGAACAGCTTCGGCGAGATTGTGTCGCCTTGTCGGACCCCCTTCCCGATTGGTATGGTCAGGGGGCGATGGAATAGCTGCATCGTCGTTGTACAGTCCTTGTAGCAGTCGGCTAACGTCCTCACGTAAGCTGGGTCTACTCCTTGATCGACTAGCGCAGACAGGATGGCGTTGGTTTCGACGCTGTCGAAGGCTTTCTCGTAGTCGACAAAGGTTAGGACGAGAGGCAGTCGGTACTCCCGGCAGACTTCTATGACCCTCGAAACGGTCTGGATGTGGTCCATGCAGCTGAATCCTTTGCGAAATCCAGCTTGTTCTTGGGGTTGGGCTTCATCCAGTGTCCTTGATATGCGAGCGAGGATAATCTTCGTGAAAAGCTTGTACAGCACACTCAGCAAGCATACTGGACGATAGTTCCGAAGATCCTCCCGTTCACCCTTCTTGAAGAGAAGGACGGTTCTTGACGTTCTCCACTGGTCGGGAATCTTCTCCTTCTGAAGGTAAGATGTCAAATGCGACGCTAGAATCTCGTGTAGACGGTGTCCTCCGGCTCGCAGAAGTTCGACGGAAAGATGATCTGGTCCTGGAGCCGTGGACGTCTTCATGGTCTGTATCGCGATACGCACTTCAGCAGGTAGAATTCGTGGTGGTACTTCTCCAGTGGGAACAACGGGCATCTGCACGGGTGTTGATGAGCGGAAGAGGTTGGTGTAGAAGTTCTTCGCGATAGATTCCATCTTGTATCGGGAAGAAGTCGGAGTCCCGTCTTCGTTCAGTAGTGCAGCCAGCGGTACGTGATATTCGCAGAGGTCCCTTCGGCACTTCTTGAGACTTCGTCTTCTTTCTGCTGCTTCCAGTATCTTGGCTTGCCTGTGCTTCCTGAGATCCTCTTGCAAAGCTGTTCTGCAACTGGTGTTGGCAATCAGTCGCTCGAGATGAGTTGCATTCGGATCCTGCCTCAATGATCTTCTTCTTTCGAGCAATTCCTTGGTGGTCTTCGAGATGCGGTCCAAGTTCTTCTCAGAAGTCACTGAGGCGCATTCTCCGCAAGCTCGCAATCCTTTCAGAAGCCGGTCGTAGTCGTACGTTGGGTCCTCCTCGATGGGCCAGTCACAACTTGATATGAGCTCTTCCAGCCTGTTACCGTCATAAACGACTTCCTTCCTTCTCGCGGCACTATGACAGACTTTCTTTTCCAGCCTTCGGCTGAGTCGTATCTTCGCTCGAAGGAGGCGGTGATCGGAGCCACTACAGAAGGATGGAACTACAGAGACATCGAGTAAGCTCCACCTTCGGTTGGTGAGAATGTGGTCGATCTCCGCGTGGGTCGTTCCGTTGGGCGATTCCCATGTCCACCGGCGATGTTCCTTCTTCATAAAGATGGAATTTCCATGGAAAAGTCGTGCGGCGGAGAGAAGCCCAACAAGACGGTTGCCGTTTTCGTTCCGGAGCCCATATCCAAACTTCCCGATCCTATATTCCCTTTCCAGTGGCATCCCGATTTTCGCGTTGAAGTCGCCCACAACAAACTTGTAAAAGGACTTCTCGTTGCGGACGACCTCCTCCACATCTTCGTAGAAAGCATCTAGTTCTGATTCGTCAGCTGCTGATGTTGGAGAATAGCAGTTGATGATGCTGATGGTCTTCTGATGTGGAGGTCGTAGTCGTAGGATGCCTAGTCGAGGTGATAGGATCTCGTGCGAATCGACAAGATGGACGATAGATGGGTGGACGACAAAGCCGACGCCTCCCACGTTTCGTGATGGAACCTTTTCACCACGAATGATGAGGGTCCCATCACTCATCTGTCGCACGTCCTTCTTCCTGGACTTCGTTTCCTGCAGAGCAATGATGTGGTAGTTGATGTGCTCTGCAGCGTCGAGAAGAGCGTGGAGGTCGGCGTTTGTGGAGACTGTCCTGGCGTTGTAAGTGCAGAGCATGAGGCAGTCTCCATGGCGTGTCGTCCGGGCAGACGTGTCGTTTTTGTCCAATCCGAAAGGCGCCCTGAGTACCCTGACATCGTTCTTGCTACCACCCGGCGCCGTAGGCGGGATCCGATGTACAGGGTTTTTTCTAAATCTTCTTGCTGTCTGAGTAATAAAATTTGTTCCCCTACAAGAGGTGGCTTACTAGGCCTACTCTTGATTTCCACGGGGTGATCGCTGACCCCGCGCTTGGAGCGGGGAGGGACCGCCTAGCGACCAGAAGAAGCCAGACGGCGGAGAATCTGGCGCGGCCAGTTCTTAGCTAGGCATCCGGCCGAAACCGGAAACGTCGAACTCCTTCACAGCTTGGGAGGCCCTACCAGAGTATACACTCGGCTGTGCATCGCAGTTCGACACCCAGTGTCACCCCCACGCCACGATGAGGCGACCGACCATTGTGGGGGTGGTGACAGATTACAAGAAAAAATAAGAAATTCGAAAAATCATTCCTTATATGGGGGCTGCATTCTTTTCTAATTTCAAAACTCACAAATTATTATGGCTTATTTGGTCTTGTGAGTTTAAATGTACTGGTTATAGGTATGGCAGAGAAGTTCTTTTTTGAATTTAAAGTTTTGTTGGAGAATTTCCAGATATACCCACTTTTTGACCTTGATTCTGAATAGCGCTCAAAATCATTCGCTTTCCAGAGAATTATCCAACAAGACTTTGAATCAAAAAAGAACCTCTCTTCCATAACGATAACCAGTAAATAAATCTCAAAGAATTCTGTCAAAAAGGTAAAGGTATTGAATCATGATTTATGGTGCATATAGTTCAAACGAAAAGATTTGAAATCTACGCAAACTTATTGAGATTTTTTCAGCCCCTCTGGACTTCGCACTCATTGGAAGACCACCACTTGTAAACCTGAAGAAAAGGACATGAAACTCGAAAAAGAGGACGAAGCCGTTTCCTCGACTACCCCGATGCTTGTGGCTCCATCGAGCACCTCCCATATGCAAGCTACATCGTCCCATATGAGCGCTCCCCAGCAGATGCAAATGCATCATGAGATGAAGGTAAGGGTTTTAGGCTCCTTGGATTTATAGGTAAACAGTTGGAGGAATGAGTCTGGAGATCGCATTCTCCGCGGACTACTGTTACTTCCGCACACGTTATGATGCACTGCGTGAGGACCAATAGTCCGCGGAGGCGGTGAACGATAGTATTCATTTTTCTACTCTGGCTAAAGGCCCTGGTAGGAAATAATACACTCAAATTTTTATTTTTAGTTCAAGAACGAACAGATGCAGCAGATGCCTTCCTATTCGGGACTTCCGCCACTTTCATCGCTTCCCTCCCTCCACTCCTCCCTACCCTCTTCAATTTCCTCCGGGCTATCCTCATCCTTGTCCTCATCCCTATCTTCCAGCCTAGCCACAAGTCTTCATGACCCATCCAGCTCTCTGAGAGCTCCCTTAAGACTGCCAGAGCTGAACTCACTCAAAGGCAATATTTTACCGGGCTTAGGGTATCAGTAGATAGTTATTATTTCATGAGCAAAATTGTCCGTAGCATTTAGAAAGCTTTGTCAGTTAAACATGGCCCCAACACACTGCCCTTCACATTTGCAATTCTTTTTGTTTTTGTGTACTTGTGCATTTACGTACTTTTATCTCGATCATGTAAATATAACATAATTTATCTACTACAGTACGAGGTCACCGTTCTATGCTAACCCCTTGCCCCTCTTTTATTTTTTTGTAAAATGTAAGTGTGGTTACCCTATTCGTTACTTCCAGCAACGGCTTTAGACAAATCAGAGGAAAAACAATTACCACTAGCATCATAGCGCTTGTAAGCTCATATGGCATATTTTTGGCGTTTTTCTTACTCACTGCCGCCGCGCGACTCATCGCGCGTCGCGATGAGCGGACCAATTCAAAGCGATCAGCTTCTGTGTGCATCTGTGTGACTTTGCAATTCACTCTGTTCACAAGGTGTCTGTTTTCTGGTGTACAAGGTTTTCTGGGTCTTACATCGAATCATCACGTCAATGAGCGACGTGCTGGTTCGTGAGAGCCGCGCAATTTTTTCTTAGCCGCTCGCGCTCGCTCGCCTCCCGACACATCGTGTAATAATCTGTGATTTTTCTCGTGCGAGTTCTCTTACTATCGTTTATGATGTTACGTCAGACCTCTTTTGGTTCTCGTTCTTCCTTAATTTTAATTTTTTTGTTGAAATACACTTCTCTTGTCTAATAAAGCCCTTTTAAATAAAAATTTCAAGTAGTTCTGAACTCAGTTAGGACATATACGAGTTCCAACAAAGCACATTCAGTAAGCAGAGCTGCATATCCGCCGCATAACCAGGGCTCGGCTCGAGCTAGAACCAGAAAGTTTCCGAAAAAAGTCCTCTTTCGTTGCGAAATCTTCAAAGTCCCTTTTTCACGACTAGTAGCTCCCAAACTATTTTTAGGATTGAATACTAGTGAAGAGCTCAAGAGTCAACTAATACAGACTAGTAATAGATGTAAGAAAAAAGAAAACGTGAAATCAAATACCTAACAAGCGTTGAAATTGAAACATTCGCGCGTTGATTCGCTTAGGGGCGAGCTTTGCCATCGGAGCAGGATTGTGCTACGATAAACTTTTTAAAGCTATGAAAGGCGTAGGAAAAGGGTGTGAGACTGTTATTTATTAATATGAAAAATTCTAACGTGCATCGACGACTTATGAAAAAAGCTATGAATATCTATATGAGCAAATCTCAGCTTGGAATCAAGCTGGAACGTTCTGTCTCCATTCATAGTCATCTCCACATTTCTGAAACTCAGTATTGATGAGTTCGCTTGTGGCTTAGTATGTTCCGATAAACATCATTCTGAGTGTACGGATCTAGCTGAAATTTGCTTTCTTATAAGTAAACCATGGAGGAGGATATAGCCTACTTTTAGGGGGATAGATCTAGCAATTTGTTTCTATCTTATTATTGATTTGTTGAATTACATCTAAGGAAATGAAAGCAGAACAATAACTATCAGATCATTTCACTACAGTCGTGTAAGCGGGGGCGGTAAAGCTTCTTTACATTTCGCGGCGGAATAGTGCGGTGTTTCGAAGCGAAAAGTCAGCAAGAGAACTTCTACCACGAAGCCTTCGGCGCAGACATTGAACAGGTATGGCAAGTCTTTACAAGTTTGAGACTATTTCAGTAGTACCCCTCCATTGGACCTATTTCAGCGCAGCACTCGGACGCAACCGGGGAAACCATCTCATGGTTTCACAAACTAACCATGGTTTGAGGTGCGTGCATGTGTGTAGTAGAGTTGTTTTCACACTTTTGCCTGTTCGTAGTAAACAAAGCATTTCTTTGTTTGTGGCACAGTTTTGGATTCTCACGCTGTGCAAGACAATGTTAGAGTATGTAATAAACATGTCTTGACTTGTTAATACATTGACGACAATACGACCCACCGGTGGGTCGTAAGTTTGACAAAGCGAAAAAGGCTTTGGTCCGAAACGGCAGTAATCGAAATATCGGCCTTGTCCTGAATGTGTTAACTGAGAAATTTGGACAGCTTCCGGTGAAGTCTGATTTCGATGTATTTCTCTGCGATTTTTCGCAGGCCCGCCCCCGCATTAACAACACATCCCTTCTCTTTGCATTCTTCTTTTATAAAAAGATATCTAGCTTGATCCGAAACATTGACGACAATACAACTGTACCAAGCTTAGGGCATAAGGTTGGTAGGGTAACATAGGTGATATATTACTTTGTATCGTTATATCTCTGATATATTACTTTGTATCGTTATATCTCTGTAGAGCCTATTTATAAAAATTGTGGCGCAGTAACATCCTTTACATGTGCTAGTGCTCGGCGTTTATCAAGGAATGCTTTGCACTCTTGGGTCTACAGAAACAAGCGAAGAACAGGCATATCTTGTACACTCCTCTTACTGAAGCTGCCGTTATCGTGATCACAACGATGATAGAAGAATATCCCGAGGGCCTAAGCAGCCTAGTTTATCTTTGGCCGTGAAAAAGGTCACCGTCGATTGACACATAATCAGCTCCATTCTCATAGAAAAACGATCTTCCTTTCTGAGCAGGCTCTTGCAAAAGCCATAGATCAAAGGTATGTGAAGTTTCTTTGAACCACCTACGAAGTGCTAGAACAAAGATCCCTGACTCCGTATTCATCGTAAATTTGGAACCAGGTAACTTTATCATTCATTTTTACTAGATACCAAAATCACACAAGTACCTAGAGCTATAAGGTGCTTACAAGGGAAGGATGGTCAGTCGAAGTGGCCTTTTGCGATGACTTGTATATCGCTATGTAGTGCATAAAACGCTGATTCCAAATCTGTCTTCCTTATCTGCGGCGCATTCCTGCACAAGAAGTTATGAGCGTTTATTGGCCAAAATTGAATGTGCAAATAATATAAAAACAATAGTAACATTATTCCTAGCGCTTAAATGAACCAGTGGTAATCTTTCCAACACTCTATAAAATAAATACTCTAAGATGAGATATATCCACACTCCGGCTGTCTCATTCAAGCGCTGGGAAAATTTTAGCCAATGTTTCTATCCCAGAAAAACACTCATTTTTTGCTCCTTCAAAAGCTCATAACTCCTCCAGGAATGCGCCGCAGGTAAGGAAGACAGATTTGGAATCAGCGTTTTATGCCGTCCACCATGGTATACAATTCATCTCAAAAGGCCACTTCGACCAACCATCCTTTCCTTGTTAGATGGCCCGTCTTCACGTGACGTGCGCTCAGACAAAACCATCGATCCCTGTCTCGCTTCAGATATCCACAAACTTCTTGGTTGTCGTCGGTGCCTGCGTCCACGAGTTTCAGAGGGAAAAATCGTAACCAGCTGATTCCTCAGCTGGTCCATCCGTTCCACGAACACGCATGTTCATCTCGTTGGAGTTCTTCCTGAGGACGTTTTGCTTTGTTTAAGAATCCACTCTGATGTTCTTATTGTTCATCTGTCGTCAGTTCTTCTCAAGATGTGACCGACCCGTCGATGCTTCGTTTCGCGACTTTTGCCGCTGGAAGTCATCTTCAGAAGACTGCGCTCAAGCGCACTGTGGGCGATTCTGAGATTCCCAGATGGCTCGGCCCAAGTGCTGCGTAACAGAGCGCCGCGAGTTTGAGTCGAACAGGTGGAAGCTTCGAGTCCGTCAGTCGATCGGTGGGCTTCCTTCAAAAGCCCGAGCTGGCCCAGGCCGCTCTTCTTTTCCTGTTAAGTTCTTCCCTCAAGTGAATTTTTACGTTCATCAAACATCCGAGATACACGTAAAAAACGTCTCTCTCTAGGAGTGCCTTCCAATTCAATTCCTGCATCTTCGCGAAGGGCGTTCTTCATGAACTGAGTCTTCTTCCGATTTATCCGCAATCCGATCTTCCACTACGATTCTTCTATCCCTACTTCGTTTAGTTCTCAGCATCGTCTTTGCTTCAGTGATACTGCTCAAAAAGACAACGGTTAGTCCGCAAAACGAAGCTTCGACAGAAATCTCCCACTAACCGTATCCCTCTCTCGTCCTAGTCCAGTTCTTCATTACCCACAGCCGGTGAAATTGTGTCGCCTTGCAGGACCTCCTTCCCATTTGGAATGGTCAGGGGCGATGAAAGCTGCATCGTCGTTCTACAGTCCTTGTACCAGTCGGCGTCCTCACGTAAGCTGGGTCCCCTTGATCGACTAGCGCTGAAAGGATGGCGTTGGTCTCGACGCGTCAATTCATTTCGTAGTCAACGAAGGTTAGGATGAGAGGCAATAGGGTTTCCGGCACATTTATGATCCTCAAAACCGTCTGGATGTGATCCATGCAGCTGAGTCCTTCAAGAATACCAGCTTATTTGGGGTTTAATCTTCATTCAGTGATCTGGATATGCGAGCGAGGATAATCTTTGTGAAAAGCTTGTATTTCAAACTCAGCAGGCGCATTGGACGGTAGTTCCGCAGATCCTCCCGTTCACCCATTTTGGAAAAAGGACCGTCCTCGATATTCTCCACTAATCGGGAATCCTTTTTTTAAGTAAGATGTTAATTGCGACGAGAATTCTCTTGTAGACGTTGTCCTCCTACTCGCAGAAATTCGACGGAATGATGGCCTGGTCCTAGAGCCATTGACGTCTTCATGGTCTGGATCGCGGCACGCACTTCTGCAGCTAAAATTCGTGGTGGTACTTCTTCACTGCGAACAAGAGCATCGGCACGAGTGCTGATGAGCGGAAGAGGTTGGTGTAGAAGTTCTTCGCGATAGATTTTTTATATCAGGAAAAAGTCGGAGTTTCGTCTTTGTTCAATAATGCGGCCAGCGGCACTTGATATTCACAGAAGTCCCTCCGGCACTTCTTAAGTATTAGTCTTCCTTCGGAAACGGCTATACTATTCCAGGAGGTAAATCCTGACTTCTGTAATCCCTGCAATTCTTGTGATTCCTCAACTTCCGATGTGCCGCACTACAGAGCGCTTTGCAAATTTCAGTGCACATTGTTTGTTTGTTTTTTTCGCAATATGGGCTGTTACGGGATTTGAAGGAATTAAAGGAGTTGCAGGAATCACAGGAATAGTATGGCCGGTCTCTTCGGCTTCTTCCGATCAAGATCCGAGTGCAACCCATCTCGACTGACTGATAGCCAACCCAATGCCAGTTGCAAAGCAGCTTTGCAGAAGGATTTCAGGAAATACAAGCTAGCCGAAATCCTCTGCTTTTCGGCTTGCCTGTACTTCCTGAGATCCTTCCGTAAAAGCTCTTTTGCAACTAGCGTTGCCTTGGCTATCAGCCACTCGAGATGGGTCGTACTCGGATTTTGCCTCAGAAATCTTTTTCTTTCGAGTACTTCTTGGTGCTCTTCGAAATGCGTTCCAAGTTCTTTTCGGAAGTCACTGAGGCGCACTTTCCGCAGGCTCACAGTTTTACAAAAGCTGGTCGTAGTTGTACGTTGGGTCTTCCTCGATGGGCCAGTCACAACTTATGAGCTCTTCCAGCCTGTTACCTTCATAAACGACTTTATTCCTTCTTGCGGCACTAGGGCAGACCTTTTTCAGCTTTCGACTGAATCGTACCTTCGCTCGCAAAAGCCGATGATCGGTACCACTGCAGAAGGATGGAATTATTGAGACATCAAGCAAGTTTCACCTTGAGGGGGGGGGTAGTAGCTGGTGATATTGGTGGTCTTCTGACGTGGGGGTCGTGGTCGTAGGATGGCTAGTCGAGGTAATAGGATCTCATGCGAATCGACAAGATGGACGATAGATGGGAGGCCAACGCCTCAAACGTTTCGTAATGGAACTCTCACTACGAATGATGAGTGTCTCATCACTCATCTGTCGCACGTCCTTCTCTGGACTTCGTTTCCTGCAGAGCGATGATGTGCTACTTTATGTGCTCTGCAGCGTCAAAAAGAGCGTGAAGGTCGGCGTTTGTGGCGACTATCCTGGCGTTATAGAGTACGAGGCATTCTTCATGGCTCGTCGTTTAGTTTTTGTCTGAAAAAAAAACCCATGAAGATCCTAACATCGTTCTTGCTACCAGCCGGCGCAGTAAGCGGGGTTCGATGTACAGAGTTTTTTTCATCTCTTCTTGCTGACAGAGTCAGAAATTCTTTCCCTACAAGAGCAAACTTGCTACGCCTACCTTGATTTCAACGGAACGATCGCTAACACCGGGTGTGGAATTTCTAGCGATCGGAAAAAGCCAGACGGCGGGGGATCTGGCCAGGTCCGCTTTTAGCTGGGCATCCGGAAACGAAATGTCGAACTATTTCTCAGCTTAGGAATCCCTTCCAAAGCATACATTCGGTTGTGCATTGACGACACCCAGGGCCACCCCCACGCCATGAGGCGAACCATAGTGGGGAATAATGGCATACGCGAATATTAAAAAAAAGTAAATCGCCGCAACTACATTATCTATGTCATGTTCCAAGCATGCAGTCTGTGTCATTTATGTGCCCCTTTTCGTGCAGGAATTTGCGCAACGCGAGGGCCTCGCCTGTAGAACTTTGATCGTTGGAGTCAGTTCAGAGGTCATAGCTTACGATAGCGCGAAGCTCTGATGTGTCGATTGCGCTTATGGAAATGAAAGCATGTAATTAACACAG